TTCATAATGCTTCCAATAAAAGATATAATTTGTTGGTAAAATAAATTATTTTTATTAAAATAATCTTTGAAGTTATTGTAATAATCAATCGATATTAATTTTAAATTTATATCAATAATTAAATAAAATTATTATTGAAAAAATAAGTTATAAATAACTTTTGATATTTTAAAATGACAAATAAATGAATAGTATATATATATATATAACATTTAATACGAGAGAAATAAGTATATAATAGGGTACTTTGGAATTAAAGATGGCAAAATTACCTTACCAATGCATATTTGCAATTTAAAACTCGTTTAATAAGTACAGAATAAATTTTTAGCCACGAATAGAAATAACAAATATATACTGTCCACACTCGCCTGACCCGTTCGTCAACACTTTAAAATAAGTTAGCCACAAAAAATCTGAGCAACGGTGTTGTTCATATTTAGAGTCTTATCTTATATATATTGAAAAGGATAGCTGACTTATCTGAAAAAGAAATATTATTTTCAAACTTATCATATTATATGTATGTGGTTTGCACCATATGTGTATATATATATAATTAAATGTGAACTATGTATGTTTACCAATTAGTTCCTTTCTTGTGATGTTATGTAGTTTTTGTTGCATTCAACTTTTTAAATTTAATCTTAATTTTATTTTTTTAATAAATTTTTGTTAATTTAAAATTTTATCCGTTTAATTTAATTACATTTAACAAGGGAAATATTTATTAATAAAAATTAAAGTATTGATACTTTTAAATGTGATTTTTATCAATTCAATCGACTGAATTATAACTTATATATTACTTAATATTTATATCATAATTTATCAAAATTATAAAAATATAATCATAAAAATTTTATATATTTTAAAATTTTTATATTATATTAAATTTCGTACACCAACACGAATTGATATATACTTCCTTTAACATACAAATATTAGACATCACATGCATGTAAAATAAGACTCGTTTTCTAAGAAGTTTATTATGAATTAAGATGGTATCATAATAAATTTAGATCTACTATCAATATAAAACTCTTTTATATTGTTAGTTAATTTTGTCTTGACATCGCATCAAATTTCGATAATCCAAAAGACTATCAACTTAGCTCTATAAAATTATAAATAAAATTCCATTAGTCCTTCAAATTTTGGGACAATAAATTAGTTCTTTAAAAGTTTAAATTGCCACTATGTTATTTAAAAAAATCATCATTGATTAATTTTTTTTAGAATATAATTTATAATCAAATTAGGATCTAAAATATTTTAAAAATTACCAAAACTAATATTCACAAAATGTTGACAAAAAAAATATTAAAATTAAACTGAAAGTATGTATTTATAATTTTTTTTATATTTATTTATATCTAATCTGAATATGAATGTATCTAATTAAATTTATACTTGATTGATGATTAAACTTTCTTTGATTTAAATATTTGTTGTAAGCATATATTTAATGATTTTATTATATAGATACAATAATTATTTAAATAAATGTGCATTTCACATGCTGTGTCAAGTTAAATTTATACTTGCATGGTAATTAAATTTTGTTTAATTAAAGATTTGGTGTAAACATGCATTTAATGATTATTGTGGAGCGCCCCAGAAATTAAAATCGTGGTTGACTCCGACGGATCCCGGTATAGGGGCAATTCCATACAGCGGACGGCAATAGCCATTAGGGGGAAAAGAGGGAGAAAAGGGAATAAAGTAAAGTTCCACATTTTGTAAAATTGTGTTGTATTTGTATGAATGAAATAAGAGAAAGAATTTTTAAAAAGTAAAAATAAAAAGAATATGTTATTTAAGGTATTGTTTATTTTAGTTTTGAGATGCCTCACGATTTTGTCTTCAAAAAGCTTTTTGATGGGATGTAAGTGTTTGAGGGATTGAGGGATGGAACAAAATTGAATGAGAAAAAAAAAATATATCAATTTACAAGATCCCAAATTCTGAAACTCGATGATGTTTAGAGTTTCGTTTAAAGTCTCGATGATAATGTTACTACGGTATTAAATTATCCTGTGTGTACCTACTAAACTAATCTTTATTTATGTTTTTTAAGAAAATCTGTTTTTTTGAAGATTAATGTCAAAATCACAACTAAAAAATATTTAGTATTTGTTTATTTCTGCTTTGATTTTTAATTTTTAAAATTATATTTTAAAATAAATTTTAAAACTTTTCTTGAAAAAATAAAAATAAAATTTGTTTGTTTATTTAGTTTTCAAAACTATTTTTAAGATGAGAAAATAAAAAAATTGTTCAATAAATTTATTTTTAAAATAAAACATTAAATTGAAAATTTATTAAAATATTAAAATTTAATTAATGTTAAACTAAAATATTTTAATAAATTACAAAATATAATTTAATATTAAAATAAAAATAATAATTAATTTTAAACTTAAAATATTTTTTTAATAAGTAAATATAAATAGTATGAATAAGTAATATCACAAAGAAAACAAATAAATATATTTTTAGATGTCTTAAAAAGAAATCAAAACATCTTATAGGTTATTTTTATTTTTTAGTTTTGAAATTGAAAATGAAAATTTTTTTAAAAATAAATTTAAAAAACTTAGGTTAACAAATAATTAATTTTTTTATTTTTAAAAAAATAAATTTATATTTAAAAAGAAAATGCTCTTAGTTGGATATCACTATTTTATAATACTTGAAAAAAAATGTACTTATGATTCATGATAAATTAATCTTTTAAACAAAAAATAAAATGCTAATTAACATTAACAAGATCTGAATCACTTGCAGTTTTGGATTCGCTTAAGTAAAAATTTTTTACTTAAGTGAATTTTGATAAAAAATAATTTTGACTTAAGCTAAAACTAAATTCGCTTAAGCAAATTTAGAAAGAGTAGCAAAAAAACTAGAAGAAAAAAAGAAAAATAGAGGCTAGGAAGAAGACTAGAGATGAGGCAAGAGCACAAGGGAGAGGGAGAGTAGAAGAAAGCTAATAGAGGAAAGGAAAAAGGGTTAGATGAGGAGAGAAGGGAAGGGGGACGAGTGGGGGTGAAGGGGAGGAGAGGAGAGAAGAGCTAAATGAGAAGAGAGGGGAAGGAGACTAGTTGGGCCGAAGGAAGAAGAGATGAGGAAGGGGAGGAAAGAAAGGGACTGAGTAAGAAGGAAGAAGGAAGATGATGACTGGATTGGAAGGAGAGAATAAGAGAGAAAATCGAAGTAACAACAAGAAGGAAACATTTTCTTTTTCCTGCGTATTTTCACTTAAGCGAATCCAGATTCGCTTAAGTGAAAATACGCAGGAAGAAGAAGATAATTCGCTTAAATAAAAATACGTAGAAAGAAGAAGATGTTGCAGTGTATTTTCGTTTTCGCTTAAGTAAATTTTTTTAGCTTAAACGAAATTGACTTAAGCAAATTTTTTTTTAGCTTAAGCTAAAATTATTTTTTACCAAAATTAGCTTAAGCGAATTCAAAATTGCAGCCTGCAATTTTCACTAGAACTGCAAGCAATCTAAATCCACATTAACATGAGTTTTAATATAATTTGTCTAATAGTTGAGTTATTATTATTAATTTGTTTAAATAGTTTAGACCAGTTCAAATTGTTAAGCTAACTGTCTATCTACTACTACTAGTCTTAAAATTGGTGTCCAAATTCCAGGTTTTAGGCAGCATAATTCTTGACTAAAAAAAAAAAAAGAGCTGCATACTTCGATCTTTGCGTGTGAGCTTAGACCGGTCATTGAGTTATTAACTTCCTTCTTTTGAATTCACTTTTAGCACTTAAAAGTTATAATTTTTCATTAAAAAATATTAATTTTATGCTTAAATTCAAAAATTTTAAAAATAGTTACTTTTGAATTATATATTTATAAATTTTACAAATTTGTAAATTTTTACATACATAATATTCATGATAATTTTTAAAAAATTAGTCATTGAATCAATAAAATTCACCTTTAAAAAAAAAAGTAGTGATTAAATATATTTTTTCATTAATCCAATTGTTAATTCTTGTAAAATTAGTATGTATAACATGTATATAAAATTTAACATAATTTAAATATGTGTACATATGTAATTTAATAATAGTTATTTATTTATATTTTAAATATAAATATTTTAATGTATAATAAGAGTTTATGTATAATAATTTTTATTTAAAATTATAAAATATTACATAATTTAATATATTAATAATATATTTTTAATAAAAATTTATTATTTATTTATAATTTTTTTTATTGTGAGACAATATAGAATAAATTAGTCTTTGAATAATATAAAAATTTTGTAAGTTTAGATTCATCTTATAAGAATTTTCAATCAAACGGTTAAATTAATAAAATTTATTTGGAGTGTTCCTTTACCAAATCTTACACTTGGTATTATATATATAATTATGACACGCGTATTACTTAGTAATTACGATTACACACGCATATTGTGTTGACATCATATTTAATATATATACATTTTCTTATTTGGTCGTTGCCAGAATTAAATAAAGTGATTTGCATTTTAATTTTATTATTTGAATATAAAAATTAATACTATGCATATTATATAAATTTTTTAATCTTTTATGTAATTTCAATTTATATTTTAAAAATATACCTTATAATAAAAAATATATATTTTGTTATCTTAATTTTATGTTGGCAAGACATTTTCGTTTGAACTTAAAAAGAGAATTTGGTCTTTATATGGATTATACAACACGGAATATAGAAGATCAAGATGAAGAATTTTCTTTGTGAAAGGCTATTGAAAGATATACGCCGTGAATGCCGGTTAATGAGGCCATTATCAATTTTAGACAACGGTTCGCAGCAGCCATTGTCTTCTTCTCATGTTGGTCGATGTTGACAGCGACTTGAACCAAGTCAGAGTTACGCATGGCTTCATACCACAGATTCGTTCCACGTACTAAATGAGGATCGTTGAAGATTCAAGCCTCATAGCCTATATATAGCAGCGAAGCAATGCTCTTCACCAGCAACGTGCAATTAAACGATAACTCCTCTTTTATCTCTACTTGCTAACTCCCCAACAATGACGACCAGTACCCGTGTTGTTCTCTGCCTTGGCTTTGCATTCCTCTTCTGTGGTATATTTCTATTCCTATCACTTATGTTCCTTTTTAGTTATTTATCATATTCATTTGTGTAAGAATGTATATATAAGCATTCCTCATGTTAACGGGTACACCCTATATAAGGTGCGGGGGTTTCACGTTGATCATATGGCGTTCAAAACAGTACTTGAATAATGAGACTTTTTTGCTTAATGGATTAATCATTTGGATTGGGTTCTTCTCATATTAGAATGAGATAAATCAAATTGCATATTAAATAAAATAAGAACTTCAATTTAGTATTTTAGTAATAGAATTCTAAATTTATTGAGTTAAAATATTTCTGTGTACTCTCGAGTCGTATCTATATATAATGGATTAATGAAGATTGAATTTTGAGACCTATATGCAAATGGCTTCGTGTAACACTTTTAACCATTTTTTAAACTTATACAGCATTACACATAATTAAACAAAAAAGGAAAATATAAAAGATTTATTTGCAACGTAAATATATTCTCTGCTTATGATATTGGTTTTGCATTTACGTAAGCAGTGGCTCAAGGAGCGAAGGTTACTTTGACGAACAAGTGCCAATTCACGGTATGGCCAGCATCACTAACCGCTGACCAAAAGCCTCAGCTATCAAAAACGGGTTTCGAGTTGGGTCCAGGAGCAACAGACTCCGTGGACGTTCCATCTCCATGGACGGGTCGGTTTTGGGCCCGAACCGGATGTTCCAACAACGGAAGGTTCACATGCGCAACCGGTGACTGCGGGTCGGGTCAAGTGGAATGCAACGGTGCGGGTGGAAACCCACCAGCCACGTTGGCAGAGTTTACATTGGCACCAAACGGAGGACAAGATTTCTACGACGTGAGTAACGTTGACGGGTTCAACATGCGAATGTCCATAACCCCACAAGGGGGAAGTGGCGGTTGCAAAGTTTCGAGTTGTCCTAACAACATCAACGACAAGTGTCCTGATCAACTCCAAGTTAAAGGGTCTGATGGAAGCGTAATCGCTTGCAAGAGCGCGTGCTTGGCTTTCAACCAGGCACAGTATTGTTGCACTGGTGATCACGACAAACCTGAAACCTGTCCACCTACAGACTACTCTAAGATTTTCTCTGAGCAATGCCCTGATGCTTATAGCTACGCTTATGATGATAAAAAGGGCACCTTCACTTGCAACGGTAGTCCCGATTATACCATCACTTTCTGCCCTTGAAAGTCCTTTTAAGTGCTTACACAAATATATAGCTGCTATTGTATGAATAAAAAATCACGTGCTTTCGGTGATTGTATTTCTATTCATCACTTGTCATCCAATAAAGTTTAGTTTCTTTCCCCTTCATACCATCTTCTTAACGTCAATTTACATGCACGTGTTAAAAAAATAGGTTCTAATATTTTATTATTTTAAATAAACAATTATTATTATATGTTATAAATTGATAATTATTTAATTTGAATAAATTTAGACAAAAATATTTTTTGGAAAAAATAAGTAAAATAAATATATTTTTTTATAAATTAAAATCAACTTTACTTTTAACTTATAAAATACTATTTTATTTTGCTTCTTTATGTTATCTTCTATACCTGATTATATTTACTAGAAAAATAATCTAAACTGGTCAACGTCAATATCTAGCACCAATCTAAAAAATGACCGATATATCCGAGTCATGAACATTTATTCCGAAAACAATCGTGTATTTTAATGTGGAAAGTATTTAAGTGTTTTAATCGTATGACGTCGACGCTGGGTATGATGACTTCAGATTTAACAGAGTATTCCTCCGACAAACTTTTAGACAGTGTTTGTTTGGTTTTTTTTTTTTTTTTTTAATTTAAAGCTAGTTTAAAATTAAGGATTTCATTAGTTGGCGTTCGAATGGCAGTATTAAAAATTAATAAATTTTTTTATTATTAAAAACCATGTTAAAGATGCACTAAAAATCATCAAGACAGTGTATTATTGTTCTTTTCAATAAAAAAATTGTTTTTAATTCTTTAACTAACATCCTTAATTAATATTTACCTAACATTAAAATTTAAAATAACAGCTTTAAATTTAAAGTTAAAATATTTTGATAATTTAAAATGTTTTAAACTTAAAAATTATTTTTAAATTAAGACTTCTCGAATAGTATGTTCTTTGGGATTTGAAATAAAGAAGAAGCAAAAGTAAAAAAGTTTTTAAAACAAATTTTGTTGAGCTAAGTAAAGTGGACTTAGATTTTTCTTGAGTAACATTTCAAATTTATAAATAAGATATTTTTTATATTAATTTATATTGATCAAGGTATACCAAGATTTCAAATTAAATGTATAAGTATAACCCCTTTCTTCTTCTTCTTTTTTGTCAAAATTTAAGTATAACCAATTGAAACTTGTAGTAGTAAAATGGAAATACGGAAGCCACCTAGAATAGACCAAGTGCGGATGTTCTAGGCCGAGAGAGGAAAATAAATTTAGTTGGGTCTAGCTAGTATTTTGGGCTTGATGGACTCTAAACATATGTGCACTGTAAATATAGGCTTGTGATATAAATTAATTTAGACCGTTTAACTTTTCAAAGATTTATTTATAAATATTAATTTTAAATAATAAAATATTATTAAATAAAATAACAAAATATGTCATGTGAATGCTAAGCAAACTTTTTATTAATTAGTTTAACACTTTATACTAATAGTAAAGGTTAAATTTTAACTTTTTAACAAATAATTTTTAATAAAATTTTTTACTAAAATTTATTATAAAATGTTCAATATTTAGAAAAATTAAAAATATAATTAAATTTAAATTAATTTATAAATAGATTAATTTTAATTTTAATTTTTTTAAATGAAAGACACTTGTTTGGCCATAATTTTATTTTATTGGATAATATAGTCAGAGATTTATTTGTAAATATTAATTATAAATAATAAAATATTATTAAATAAATGATGTGATATATTACATAAGAGCTTACAGCAAAAATTAAATTTTAACTTCTTAGTTTTTCAGAGATCAAATTTTAACTAAAATTTTTACAATAACTTACTACAAAATATTCAATATTTATTAGGACTAAAAATATAATTAAACTTAAATTAATTTATAACTGATTGAACTTGAATTTCTAATTTTTTAGATGAAAGACACTTGTTTAGCTATGATTTTGTCTCGTTGGGCAACATAGCAAAGGATAAATGTATAAATAAGAGTAAATTATAAATATTAAACATGTATTTAATTAATTATAATTTTTGAAAGAATAAAGAATATTAAATTTAATTAAAATAAATTTTTTATTATATTTTAATTTTGTCTTCAAAATATACTTAATTATAAATTAAAAAAAATTATTTTATATATTTATTTTTATTTTATCTTCAAAGAAATGAATAAATAATATGTATATATTTTCATTATAATTTCTAAAAAGTAACTATCTCAATTTATATACAATAATTTTTTTATAAAATATATAAAATTTAATAGAATATTTTAAAAAAAATTTAATAGATAAAATAAAAATTTATATTTTAAAGATATAAAAATACATTATTATTCAAAATTTAGACTATTAACTTTATTATACAAGTATATTTGTAATTTTTTTTATCATGATATAAGTAATTCTTGTTGTATTAATTCAAAATCTCATTAATTAATTTTTACATTACTTTCTTTATCAATTAGATATTTTTATGTAGTTTATATAAATTAAAGTGAATTTATTTTATAAATAAATATTAACTATTGAAGTTAAATATATTTTAATTATAAATAATATTTGTTAATTTTTCTAATTAGTTATTATCTAGAGATTAAAAATCAAAATTTATTATGGACAAGATCTTGATAACATAGTATTCGTTCTCATGTTCACATTTTAAAAAAATTATATGTATTTATCTTTATATTTGTTAAATAATAACTTTGATTCTCACTCTCACAGGATTAAGTGGGCTTCATATATTAGAATAAAAGTAATATACAAGGGACCAATTTAAAAAATAAAATAATTATTAGATGATGGAAGTATTGATAAAGGTTGAAACAGAAATTAATTATAATGTTTAAACATAATTTTAAAATCAATACTAAAGGAAAATAATAACTTTTAATTTTTATCATATTTTTATTAATCTTTTTACTTATTAAATAAAAAGTGTACTGAATAATCTTTTTTAGAAGTATTAAATACATTTACTTTTTATTCAATACTGTTTAAATTTTATTATTAACTACTACGCTTTAATAAAGTATATTAAGAGGACATATTTTTTTTAATAAATATTGTAGAATTCATAAAGAGAATCTTGTTACATAACCTTGCTTAAACGAAAATAAAAGAAAGAGGCTGTGAATAAAAATATACATAGATATTGAGTTCAATAAATGTGGTTTTAAAACAATTTATTACAGACATTTAATGAAGCGGTCGTGAATAAAAATAATAATATTTTTACATCTTATATATGTGCAAATATATATATATATATATAACATGTAAAAATATTATTCTACTTACTTTCTCAATCACCCTTGCATCAAGCAAAAATATGGAAGTCGAAATCATCTCCACCCAACTCATCAAACCTTCTTGCCCAACACCAACACACCCAAAAACCCATAACCTCTCAATCATAGACCAGTTCATGCCTTCCATATACATACCAATGGTGCTTTTCTACCCTGCTGATCATATCATTCCATCCACTATTGATAGTAATATCACTCAGCAAAGATTGAAACAATTAAAGGAATCCTTATCACAAGTCTTGACTCAATTTTACCCATTCGCTGGAAGGATTAAAGACAAAATCACCATCGATTGCAATGATGAAGGGGTTTACTACACTGAGGCCAAAGTAAGTTGTAGTCTAGTTGAATTTTTCAACCATGCTAATTTCGCATCATTCACCCATAAACTTCTTCCAAACCAAACTATTTGGGACACAGCAACTGAAGGATACCCAACTATGATACAAGTGACTTGTTTTGCATGCGGTGGCATGGTGATAGGTACCTTGATATCGCATATGATAGCGGATGGAGCAGCTGCAAGTTTCTTTTTAAGTAGTTGGGGTTCTACATCTAAGAGTGAATTTCAACATGCATCTGCTCTTCCTAACTTTGACACTCCTTTTCTTAAGAATGTTGCATGCCCAAAAGATACAAATGTGATGGCTTTGTGTGGCCAATTTTTGAACATGGGTAAGCTTGCTATGAGGAGATTTTTGTTTGATGAAGAAGCTATGTCTAAGTTGAAGGCACAAGGGTCTAGTTTGACCGTGCAAAATCCTACTCGGGTGGAGGTTGTAACATCACTCCTATGCAAATGTTCTGCAAGAGCTTTCAGGGAAAACCATGGTTTGGAGAGGCCTAGTTTGTTAACTCATGCAGTAAACATGCGTCTAAGGGCATCTCCTAATTTTCCAAAATCATGTATGGGTAATTATGTTTGGCTGGCTTTGGCTTCGATGGGTGAAAAGGAGAAGGTAATTGAGTTACCTGAGTTGGTTATTAAATTGAGGGAAGCATTGAAATCAATCAACTCTGAATTTGTGAAAAGCTTAGAAGGTGAAGGAGGATTGATAAAATATTGTGAAGTTTCAAAGCAATTAATTGAGAGTGCTTCAAATGGTGCACAGACTAGTGGGGTGAATTATGTTCATTATACGAGTTGGTCCAATTTTGGTCTTTATGAGGTTGATTATGGATGGGGAAAGCCAATTTGGGTGTCATGCACTTCTGGTTCAGCTGAGGACAGCACTTTGTTTTTTAATTCGATCATCTTAATGGATACACCATCAAGTAAGGGAATAGAAGTTTGGATTTATTTGAATGAAGATGAAATGAGCATATTGCAACAAGACAAGGAGCTCCTTACCTTTGCAGCCTTAGATCCAAATCCTCTACAACTAAAGGATTATATATCTCGTGCTTGATGGTCCTAGTTCATCATGTCTCTGTGTTTCATAAATTTGTAGGTTTAATGTAATTCAGGGTTTACTAGTTTATCAGTTCTGGGACCAGTGAGAGGATTAGGTTACTAAGTTAAAATGTATGGTCAATGGTCAAATTGATATATGTATTAAATGTTTTTTAATATTTTATAATAAACCGGTTTTATCATAAAGGTAGACTATTTATTTATCCAAACAAATACGGTTACGTCATAAATTTTTAATATTAAAAGTTGCATATTAAAAAAAATAAAAAATATATTACTGTAAGTAAATTTGCTTAATATCAATGTGTTATATTATTTCTATTATTGAGTTAGTATCATACCTTCGGCCCGGTGTGAAAGAGGAGTGTTCAATATCATCATTCAGTTATGATATTTTTATAATAAATTATTATTAAATAATTTTTTCTTACAACCTGATCATTCAATAAATATTTATCAATTTTTATGTATCAGATTTGTCTAACGCCACCACCCATGTAACCAGCGTGCTTCCATGGTACCTCTTCTTTTATTTATTTTTTTATTTTTATCTAATTTAATTTTAATTTAACCTAATTGTGTACTTAGATATGATGAGTGATTTATTATTAGAGATTTTTTACATACATAAAATATAAAATTTAAATAAAATATCAAATTTAAAATCTTACTTAAAAAATGCTAAGCCACTTACCACTCAGATCAATTTCTGTTAGTTTTTTTTTCTTTTATATTGTAAGTAAAAGTTTAAATATATAGATAATTTTTAATATGAGTAACTGTATGATAACATAAGTGTCATACTTTTTTTTATTAATTAGATTAATTTTATAAATTAAACATAAAAATAAAATTAATAAATATTTTATCATGTTGTTTTATTTTAATATATAATATATTTTTAAAATATAAGTAAAGATTAACTTTTAAATAATATGTTTATAAGTATCTAAATTATATAAAATTATCATTTTACTCTGATTGAAAATTTGTAACTCTCATCAGTTACATGGGTCAACTCAAGTGGCCATTTTATATAGCACTACTCTTTTTTTTTTTTTTTTTTCAAAAAATATATAATTGATGAAGTTAGTTTTTATATAACTTATTTTTTACACACATATATGCACACACTTCTCATATTATAAATATTTTGCATTATTTTTATTTTAAAATTATTTTTTAATTTATTAAATAAGCATAAATTTAATTAGTAGTGTAAATTTTTTTAATTAATAATCATAAAGAAATAATTTTAGAAAGAATAATTATATGATGTAATATTTAAATCAAATATGAAAGAGAAATATTTGCAAGAAATATTGTATAATATTGTCTATATCATTTTATACATATAAAAAATATTCTGATTGTATATAGTTTCCAAGTAACATGATTCTTGAAAATTATATTTTTCTTCAAATAAAATATATTTTGTGTACCAAACATAAAGTATAAAAAGGTTAAATTTTGTTCTTGTGATTGATTCTTTTATTTAAAAAGTAAAATTTATTGAAAAAATATTTATTTAATTTTTACATTTTGAAAACAGTTGCTTTTAATAAAAAAATATTACTTTTAAAATTACTGTTGTAGCTGATGTTAATAAAACTGAATATTTAAATATGTAAATTAAAAAAACTAATTATGATCTTACTATTTTTTAACCCAAAAAGTAAGGATTAATGTAATTAATAGAAATGTTAATCACTTGATATAATTACAGTATAAGGTGTGTTTAGCAAATTTAGAAGATAATTTAGTTGAAAGCTGAAAAATTAGCTAAAAATTAAAAATTGAAAGATGAAAGCTGAAAATTTAGCTGATTGAAATGAAAGGGTTTAGTAAAATTAGTTGTTAGACTAACTAATAAATGTAAAGTGATAAATATTAAATAAGAGTATTACAACTAAGTATACCAAAATTTAAAAGTTAGAAATCATATATTTCCAAAAGTTATAGTTTTTGTATTTTAATTTATTTAAAATTATTTATCATTTTCAAATTAGGATAATTGATTTTTGATTTTCTGTCATTTATACACATTTTAATATAAAAATGATTTAATGACTTTATTAAATCTTTCTCAAGCTATTAACAATTATTGTTTTCTAAAACAATGAATGCTGTACAATTTATTTAATTATTATTATTTTTTACATCTATCTTTTATTTTTTAATATAACAAAAGTAAGAAAGTATAATTTAAAACTAAATGAGTAAAGAAAACTTTACTAAAAAATAATAAGAATAAAAATAACAAAATCACTCTCCGCTCATAGCTGAAAGTAAATAAAAAAAAGTTAACGTTAGTATTTTAACTATTTTACTCATCGGTATTTTTTTTATTAAACACATTTTTTAACTAAACACATTTTTTAACTAATAAAATAAATTTTTAACTTACTAATGACTTGACAAATACGCATGATACAAAACATCAATCCTATTTAATGTTATTTATTTATTTTTTAAATATCCTATCTGAATGGTATCATATTTTATTATTGTTAAAAATATTCAGCTTCTTTTTATTAAATAAATAGTAACCTTGTTGATATTGAAATAAGAGATTTTGTAAAGTATAAATGCAGAATTAATAGAAACATTTAAATTGAGAATCAAATCTTCACTATCAGTTATTTTCTTTTTTAATGCTTCTGTCATTCACTATAAGTCTCTTCTCATCTCACACTCTGTAAGTATCAGATTTGAAGTTGAAGGTAGTTTTCCATGGCCAAGAACGTCCTTTTCAATCTTTTTCTTCCCATGCTGCTGCTATGTGCAGGTGACGTATATGCTCTGTATTTCTTTTTTATTTCTGTGATGGCTTGAATGCATTTCGCTTCTCAGTCTTTGTTCTTTCTGTCTGCTTCGCAGTCTTCGCCTTTGGTTTTTTCATGAAAGATTTGTTCGTCGTGAAAACTGAATTGAGCTAGGTTCTGTTACTAGATTGAAAAAATCAATTTAAATTTTCTCATTCTCTTGGCATGACCTTTTTGATTTTCCATCTAGTATTTTCATCAAACTCATAAGCATGAAGCACCGAGGCATGATTCAAATGCTGTTCTTCAGAAATTGAATCCACTGTAGGCATCCTCACAGACCAATCAATCCTAAAAAAATTGATGAATTTGATTCTGTTTATTTATTTTCTTAGATTTAGGCTGAGATGATCCCTCAACTACAAATTTTACAATAACTATGCTTATTTTTTTTTTGTCTTCGGTATACATTTTATTAAAAAAATTCACAAATCACTATTTTTTTAAAGTCAAAAGTAATATATTATTAACAATTAATAAATTTAAATTTGAATAAAAATTAACTTATAAAATAAGAATTATTTTAACACTCAATTTGATATGTTATAGTGGTATAAAAGGTCTGACATAGAGGCTAAATTAAGAATTAAAATAACATTACTTATTAAAATCATTAAATGATGCATACTAAAATTTAGTGTGATAATTAAGTTATGAAATATACTTTGATCGTTGATTTGATATAAAAATTTTGAAAATTTATAAAACATCAAGGTGAAAGAAGATAGCAACCATGATTAATATGATTTTTTGGTCTTGCCATAGTTAATATCTTTAAATGTGAGAGGGGGGAACATTGAATGTGATGCGTGAGCTCTTTCTACGCGTATTTTCAGGAGTGCATTGTGATGTGACTTTTCATTTTGAAAACATGTGCTCATACTCCGTATGGCGTGGCTCCAACCCAAGCATTGGAGACGAGGAACCAGAGCTAGGCCCATTAGTGTATGAGATATTCAACATGGATGATCATTATAGTGGGTCAATTTGGGTCCGAACTGGATGCTCAACAAATGGATCAAATTACTTTTCGTGTGAAACTGGTGATTGTGGGAATGGGATAATGGAGTGTGCAGGCCTAAAGCCCAGTTACCCAGTAACTCTTCTGAATTTTAATGTTAATGTATCTGTGGTTTCCTATGAAGTAAGCTTGGTTCATGGGCAAAATGTGTTTGTTCGTATAAAACCCAATGGTGGAACTTTGGTGGATGGGTCAGGACCATGTCCTATGGTAGATTGCAATAAAGATATTGGAAATGTGTGCCCTCCATCTTTGATATCGAAGAACAAGGGTGGATTGTATGTGGGGTGCAACAGTGCTTGTGATGTGTTGAAGGATCCAAAATATTGTTGTAATGGCGATGGTTGCCAACCTGATGAGATCTCACAAAAGTACAAGCAACTTTGTCCATTGGCCCACACCTACCCAGGTGACCATACGCCTCCAGTTTATCGATGTAAAGGGGCTGATAGTTATGATGTAACATTTTGTCCTCCCTTATAGACGGGGGCAACATTTTTCTAGTCTTAAAGTATACTTATACTGCACCCTTTTTAGAGTTATACATATATTAAAAATTGTTACATACCAAAATATGAAATTTTTAAAAAATACTATTAATAAATTTTAAGTTTTATAAAAATAACTAATTTCATATAAAACTCGTCAAAAAATTTAAATATATCATACTAATATTTGTCGCATTAATAACATACAGTTATATTTATATTAACAGGTTAATTTTTATTGAAAAATTATACTAACAAAAATTAATTTAATATTAAATTGTTAATAAATGATAATATATTTTACAATCTTCCAACTTGACGTGATCATTAAACAGAAAAAGATAACGTTGATCTATGATTTATTAGTTTATTACGGTTAAAGTATGAATAAATAGTGATAAATAAATATATATTTTTATTTATATAATAACTTAAATAATAAATTAATTGAATAAAATAAATTTTATATTAATGTAATTTGATATCATGTTTTAATAACAAACATAAATTTATCACTTCCCAAATATATTTATTATATAAATTCATAATGTTATAATAAATTATTTTTTATTAATTTTAAAAGAAATTACATATTAAAAATTAGTTTAAATCACCAGTATTTTTCATAAAAAATAAAAAATCTTATTTGGCATAGATAAAATTACTATAAACGATAATATATATTAAAATATTTAATTAAAATATGTTAATAATATAAAAATATCTTGCACTATTATTTAATTATAAATAAATATTATCAATTGAGTGTTTTTATTTTTAATATATATATATATATATATATATATATATTAATATTATATTTTATATAGTTAAAATCAAAACACAAATTACATGTAATTTTAAATTTTTTCAGTCTTATAATCATTTATTTATATATAGTTAAACTATATTTAATATATCTTCGTCGGTCTCTTGGACCTTTACCTTTTTACAATAAATAGTTTTTTTTAGTAGAGTATTTATTATAATTTCTATATGTTTATTGTCACTTTCTCATTTAAGAAAAATTATTTAATATTTAATTAACTAATAAAAATTTATTTAAATAATAATAATAGTAACAATATTAGACTGAGAATAAATTTACTCCAAAATAAATTGTATCGTTTTTATTAATTGATTTAAAAAAAAATTAAATCCACCTAATCTCTTAACCTTTACTTTTGTTTTTCATCTAGCATTTTCGTGGAGCATTAAAGCTGGGTTCCGCAAAATCATGATTTAAATGGACAAGTTAAGAAAGTAAATGCACCATAGGAATCCACACAATCTATTCAATCCCAGATCAAATTGATGAATTTTGCTTTATTTATTTATTTTACTAGAAATAAGTCGAGATGGTCCATTGGAGTGAGAGTTATGCAAGTTCCCTTTTTAAAAGCTTATATTTTTCACACCTTCATAGATGATGATTTTCATTTAAAATTGGTTAGGATGATAGTTTTTGTAAGCTTTCAGGTATTTGGTTGTATATAACTTCTTTCGTGTTTGAATGGTTGGAACTATGAAATAAAAATGTTGTGTAATGTTTATGGCTTTGGAAAGTTGAATGTTATGACAATGGAATGAAATCATGGTTTGGTTCTTATTCATACTGAAAGAATTTATAACTGTTTTCTAGTGCTCCTATTATGTAAATATATGTCAGAAGCAAAACTTTGCAATGGGTGGTCTTTCGTTGCATTAACAAATAATTGACAACTCTGAGAAATCTTCCAACAACTTCTTGCTTTAACAATTCCTGTCCAAATTAACATGCCTCAACTTTTTAAAGTTGAGTAGCTTCATTGAGCTAGATGCTTCTCATAGACTATCAAAATTTAAAAAGAAAAAGAAATGAATTCACTAACGCTAATTTTATAGATTGATACTCTACCTGTGTTGTCATTTGATGGGGTTTTCAATCATGGAAATATTCTCCCAAATAACCCTGAACCCTTAAATAAAGGGGGCCTTTTCCCTCCTTCAAGCACAAACATCTTACCTCTATGTAGCAGCGGGGTTTGATTGAATAACCTACTTCATTGAAATTTGAACCCAAGATCCCTATGTCATAGGTAGAGGTAATTGTAAAAATACTATCAAAGCTTATGCAAAAGTGAATAATGGATCAACTAATACTAACCTCCAGCCATTGCAAGTTGATTCACGATCGAAGTTCTTGGTCTTTCCAAATCTTCACTCACTCAATCACGATGGTGTGTATTGTTCTAAAGGAGGAGCGAATTAAGGTTGACCTAAAACAATGAGATAGCAAAAAATTTATAGGGCTCTTCCATCATTAAGCCCACTCCGAATATCTAGTAAAACCACTCCGAGTGAAAAAACAGATGCAGATAATAGGGTAATGTGATAACATAATATCCCTTTAAAATCGGAACTACAAAAAACGGAAGTCAGTTGCTAACATTCTCCCACTTGATCCATTAATCCCATTATCAACCATAATAAGAAACTAAGTATATGAATTATGGTGACAGTTCCTCTAATAGTGAGTATTATCTTTCATGTATCAGAATATATCAAGTCTCTCAACACTAGCTCTTAACTTAATAAAGAAATCAAATGTTTATTCAAGGTCAAAACTAAATAATATTTCTCAAACAAACAAAAGTGTGCACAAAATGAAAGAGAAAACATCAAGTCTGAATAAAAGTCTTATAGAAAATAATAAATGTACCCATAATGATTGTCACATCATGGAACCAAGTCTCATTCGTGCTACATGATCCTTAAAATTCTTTGGTGACATGCCTTTAGTCAAAGGATAGACAATCATTAACTCAGTGCTAACATGGTCAATAACCACTTTCTTTTTCTTAACACATTTTCTTATGGCTAAATATTTGATGTCTATGTGTTTACTTCGACTTTCACTCTTGTTATTATTAGCCATAAATACTGCAGCAGAGTTGTCACAGTATACCTTCAATGGCCTAGATACAGAGTCCACAACTCTAAGTCTAGATATAAAACTCTTCAACCATACACCATGTGAGGTAGCCTCAAAACAAGAAACGAATTCAGCCTCCATAGTGGAAGTAGCAGTCAAGGTCTGCTTCACACTGCTCCAAGACACAGTTCCACAAGCTAGCATAAAAATGTAACCAGATGTAGATTTTCTGGTATCAATACAGCCAGCAAAGTCTGAGTCAGAGTAGCTTATCACTTACATAAGCATGTAATCCTTTGTTCCTTGAAGATATCTCATTACTTTCTTTGCAGCTTTCCAATGGTTAACACCTGAATTACTCTGATATCTTCCTAAAACTCTAATTGCAAATACAATGTCAGGTCTAGTGCAAACCTGAGCATACATAAGACTTCCAACAGCTGAAGCATATGAAATATTTTTCATGTGTTCTCGCTCAAGGTTATTTTTAGGACATTGACTCAATTTAAGCCTATCACCCTTCACAATTGGAGCTACACTTGGTGAACAATCTTTCATGTTAAACCTCTCTAAAACCTTGTCAATATAGGTCTCTTGAGACAAACCCAAAATGCCTTGAGATCTTTCTCTATAGATCTTAATGCCTATGATATAAGATGTCTCACCCATATCTTTCATATCAAAGTTCTTTGAGAGAAATTGTTTCACTTCATATAGCATATACCTATCATTAGCCGCAAGCAAAATATCATCCACGTATAAAACAAGGAAACAAATCTTACTCCCACTAACCTTCAGGTATATACATTGATCCATGATGTTTTCTTCAAAACCAAATGAAGATATGACTTCATGAAATTTTAGATACCATTAGATACCATTGACAGGAGCCTTGTTTTAATCCGTATATAGATTTACTAAGCTTGCAGACTAAATGCTCACAATTACGAGAAAAAAATCCTTCAGGTTGTTTCATGTAAACCTTTTCTTTTAGATCACCATTGAGGAACGTTGTCTTCACATCCATTTGATGTAACTCAAGGTCAAAATGAGCTACCAATGCCATAATCACTCGAATAGAATCCTTTTTAGACACAGGAGAAAAGGTCTCCTTATAATTGATTTCTTCCCTTTGAGTGAACCCTTTGGCAACAAATCTTGTCTTATGTCTCTCAATGTTGTCTTGTGCGTCTTTCTTGGTTTTAAAGACCCACCTACATCCGATGACTTTTACATCTTCAGGCAACTCAACGAGATTCCAGACTTTGTTAGATGCCATAGAATCCATCTCATCTTTCATGGCATTTTACCATAAATTCGATTCCTTATAATTCATGGCTTGTGAAAACGTTTCAGGATCATTTTTGGCTCTTATGTTATAGTCAGATTCTTGTAAATACACCAAATAGTCACTAGAAATTACTGACCTTTTGACTCTAGTAGATCTTCTTAATGTTGTCTCATTATCATGATGAGGAACTTGTTATTCAACTACTTCCTCAATAGGTTGATCAACATTCACTTGTGGCTCCTCGTTAATAACTTGATCTACTAAATCATATTCAACAGCTTGTGGAACTTGGATAATTGGTTGTCTAATATGCTCTTGAACTGGAGGAGCATGAATGACTACTAATCTATCATTTGATTAAGAGGGTTTAGCTTTATAATGATCTATTTCAAGAGTAGTGTCTTGAATCAGGTCACTCCCACTAATCAAATCATTTTCAAGAAACTTTGCATTTCTTGATTCCACAATTCTAGTGCTACGAGATGGACAATAAAACTTACACCCTTTGGATTTTTCAGCATATCCAATAAAATACCCATTAACAGTCTTAGGGTCAAGTTTTTTCTCTTGTGGGTTATAAATTCTTACTTCAGACGAACATCCCCAAACGCGTATATGTCGCAAACTAGGTTTCCAACCTTTGAACAATTTAAAAGGTATATTTGAGATAGCTTTAGTTGGAGCTCTGTTTAATATATATACAGCCGTCTTTAGTGCTTTAATCCACAAGAATTGAGGAAGCTTTACATTGCTCCTCATGCTTCTCACCATGTCCATCAAAGTTCGATTCCTTTTTTCTGCCACACCATTCTGATCCGGAGAACCAGACATAGTGTACTGGGCAACAATACCATGTTCTTGAAGAAATTTCGCAAATGAACCAGGTGTTTGTCAATTCTCTATGTATCTACTATAGTATTCTCCGCCTCGATCTGATCTCATAATCTTAATTTTCTTTCCACATTGTAACTCTACTTCAGCCTTGAAAACTTTAAAGGCATTCAATGTTTCATCTTTAGAATGAAGCAAGTAGAGATACATATATTGTAAGTAATCATCTATGAAGGTGATAAAATATCTCGGACTACTTGCGTCTATGTTTAGACAACAAATATTTGTATGAATGATCTCCAATAAGTTTGAACTCCTTTTGGCACCAATTTTAGGCTTGTTAATTTGCTTACCCCCAATGCAATCCACACAAGTCCCAAAATCAGTAAAGTCCAAAGTACTAAGTACTCCTTCATTTACTAATCGCTTAATTCTTTCAATGGAGATGTGTCTCAATCTCCGATGCCACAACATAGAGGATTCCTCATTCACAACACATCGTTTTACCTCAGTAGTAACGTGCATAGAATTATGAGTGACATTATTTTGCAAAGTAATAGAATAAAGATCATCACATAGTTTGCGAAAACCAACAATTTGGGAATTATTCAATAAAGTAAAACCAGAGTCCAAAAAATTAAAGAAAAAATCCAAAGGTGCAAGTCTTGAAATTGAAATCAAATTCTTAGAAAAACTAGGAACATAAAATGTCTTTTCTAAATTCAAAATAAAACCACTACTTAAAATTAAACTGCACGTCCCAACGACCTCTACATGTGAACTTATTCTACTCCCTGAGTAGATGTATCGCTCACTTTCCACTGGCCTCCTTTGGTTTTGCATAACCTGCAAGGTATTACAAACATGGATTGTAGAACCAGAATCAATCCACCATGTGTCATGATTAATATCAACCATATTAGATTGATAACAAACAAAAGCAAATAGATTACCTTTATTGTCCAGTCAAATCTTGAATTTCAGGCAGTCTTTCTTCATGTGTCTTTTCTTTTTACAAAAGAAACACTTTGACTCCTTCTTTATGTCCGGCTGAACAGAAAGCTTTCCCTTGTGATTAACTTGATTCCTTTTACTCTTCGCAGACGTGGTCAAGTTCACCTTCTCCCCTTTTTCTATCAGTAACCTTTCCTCTTCTTGAGCACACATGGTCAACAATTCATTAACAGATCATTTATCCTTATGTGTGTTATAAGAGATCTTAAAGGGGGCATATTCATTAGGCAAGGTGCACAAAATGTAGTGTACAAAGAAGGAATCTGACATGGTAACCTCCAAAGCTTTCAACTGAGCCACTATATCCCTTATGCGCATAATGTGATCACACACTCCTCTAATCCCAGTGAGCTTCATGGATGAAAATTGCATTATAAGGGTGCTAACAAGAGTTTTATCAGAAGTAGTAAATTGTTCATCAATGACCTTTAATAAATCTTTGACTTTATTATGCTGATCGATAGAACCCCAAATACTAGCAGAAATGTTGGTCTTTATGAAGGTTACGGAAAGACGATTAGACATCTCCCACTTTTCATAAAGATCAACTGCATCTCGAGTGCTGGTCTCAGTAATTTCCAGTGGTTTATCCTTTCTAATAGCATAATCAATGTCCATCCAGCCCAAATGAAGAAGAACTCTCTCCTTCCAGATCTTATAGTTGTCACCTCTTAACTCGGAAATACCACATTTAATATCAGAAATATTCACAGATTGAAAAACTGTAAAGTTTAAAATACCACATGCTTATCATCATAATTTGAGGATAAAATAAATATCATATTTTACCAATGCAAACATGCTTTAATTCATGAACTAGTGACATAAAACTTGCCTGTGGGCTAAAGTCTTATTCAATTAGACTCATTATATATCGTTATAACAAAATTATCAAATTATGTTCCTTTTCTTAATTCCTGTGGGTAAATTAAGAAATATAATCCAATATTTTATCCTAATTAATCATACACATGCAATAAAATTCCTGTGGATAAATTTCATCACATTATTATAATCAATTATAATTAATGTTCTTCAATGTGATTTAATATATATATATATATATATATATATATTATTTTAATCAATCAAATGTGCTGTAACTACTCTCTAATTTATTAAAATTATATTCATCACCAAACATTAGTTCTCTCTCTCCAAAGGGGTAGATATTAGCATTAATATCAAGGAAATTAAGCATAAAAACAATAATATCATGCAATTTAATAACATCATGCTAGTCATAAGGAAATATATATATATATATATATATATATATATATATATATATATAGTTTTCATAATCACATATATGATAAGGTTAAGGATTTGGTTTAATGGCAATCATTTCAATTTATCATCCTAGGTTTCAAACCCACGCAGGACCAAAATTGTTTTGGTTTTATTAGGGACGAAAAACATTTGAACAAAAGTGCTAAGATAAGTTTCAAACCCACACCCTTTATGAAGAGCAAGGTGCAAGTTACCACTAGGCCATCCTTGACAGATCAATATTATTGCACGTACAAAACTCCATGTTCATACATTCAGAAACTCAGAAAACACGCAAAAATCATTTTTCTTGTTGTCTTCAACCTCCAGCCGGGTTGGCTTAATCCGGTTACAACCCGCGTACGCGATTTCAAAATTTTAACAATTTTAGTCTCCAGCAAACGTGAAAAGGAATGTTTTTAGATGTGGAAAACATAGAAAATAATTTTTCATATTTGATTTTGATAAAAGAAGGGTCAAACACACAACATCTATGTCCAAAAAAAAATTTTAAATATGTAAAACGAGCAAGGCAGAGGTACATGAATGCTTTAATACCAAATGTAAAAATACTATCAAAGTTATGCGAAAGCGAAGAATGAATCGATTAATACTAATCTCCAGCCATTGCAAGTTGATTCACGATCGAAGTTCTTGGTCTTTCCAAATCCTCACTCACTCAATCACGATGGTGTGTATTGTTCTAAAAGAGGAGCGAATTCAAGTTAACCTAAAACAATGAGATAACAAAATATTTATAGGGCTCTTCCATCATTGAGCTCACTCTGAATATCTAGTAAAACCACCTCTGAGTGGAAAAACGGATACAAATAATGAATATCCCTTTAAAATCGAAACTACAAAAAATGGAAGTTAGTTGCTAACAGTCATGCCTGTTGTGTTGAGGTCCTTTTGATCTTCAAATTATGGAATATTGTTGAATGTATTCATAAACTTTGATCTGCTCAACACTTTCTTGCACTTGCAAATTCACAGGAGAGGAAAATGAAAGTAAAACAATTTCCTAATGTTACATAAGCCCAATGCAACTATCCCCAAGGGCATAGATTAGCATGTTCATCTGAGTTTTCCAATATTCCAGTTATGTGAGTTGATTCATCTCTCCATGATGAAAGGTCTCAACTCTGGCAGCTGTAGGTTTGTTTCTACAGACATGCTGACACAAATAAGTTGAGAGTTGATACCTTTGTGAATTGTCTGTTTCTAATAAGTCTGTAAGCTTTTAGTTTCCTTTTTTTTTTTATATAGGGATGCTAGTAACAAAAAAACTGAAATTTTCAAGATGTCACAATATATCCCCAAAGGATCTAATGTTAATGAAAGTAATTCTCTTGTAACTCCTAGCAAAGGCAAGACCAGCCAGTCAAATATGGTGGCCTGCTGACGTATATACATTTTTATCTTCCCAAGTTGCTTGTTTCTGACTCGATATGAATGCTCGTGATTGTGAAATGACCAATTTGATATGAAAATGATCTTTATAGACGAAAGGTCTAGAGGTTCTAACTTACATGCTAGATAATTTAATGCTTATTCTAACTTGTTGCACTCTTTTCTCTTGATATCTTGGACAGAAGGATTCCATACAAAAGGATCTTTATTTTAATTACACTTCCCTGTCTACCTAAGTTGTTTAGGGGAGAATAGACAGACATTAATCTTACAATGGCTTATGGTACAATCAAGTGAATAAGTTCATATATCTCTTGAAGTCTCAATCTTTTTCTTTCATCCTTTTAATGTATTTGAGTAAAGTAATGCAACTTCGGACTTGCTGATATGAATACAAGAAAAAGAATTACATATCTATTAGAACTACTTGTCAACCATGATAAGCTTTGCTTTATATTTTTTCTGATAGCTTGTTCTACCTGCTCCTCTCTCTTCTCTCTTCTCTCTTGGAAGTTTCGTGAGCCATATTCTTTCATTGGAACTCTAGATGTTAAATTTAACGATTTAAACCCATTCTTGTGTACTACAAAGTTTAGTGCTTCAACATGCAAGATTTGACAATTGATCTTGGTGTGTCAACATATATGTAAGATGTTGCTCAACTTTATTTGCAGCAACTGATTTTTCTTTTAGGGAGAGTGAAATTTTCTGACATTTTCTTTTTTCTGTTTAAAAAATGATTTATCTATATTTAATTTATATAAAAAACTTTTCCAGATCATGAAAGAAAGATCCACATCCCAGACATGTTTTGGTGCAATTTTATGGAAATCATTCCAGGTATTATAACATCTTTTCTATTTTAAAAAAAGTGTATTGGCAGCATATCTTTTCCTATATATACGGTAGTTTCCAGGATTTTCCTAATTCGTTTATTGTTGTGCAATATTACTTGGTTATTTCACAGTGCATGGATTAATCCAATGATAGATATTTCTCCATTTGAGGATGTAAGTGTAATCCTTGTCTTCCACTTTGTTTTCTCACATAATTTCATCGTGTTAGTCTCTGTTTATATTTGATTCGATAACATTTAAGTAGAACTAATCCAGATGAGGAGTAACAACCACCAGTATGTGTCACAAACATACATTGTGGACCCAAAAAAGTGAACATGTTGTTTCTACATTTGCATATGTTAGCAACCGATTTCTGTTTATAGTTTCAATTTTTAAGGGACATTACGTGATCCACATAACCCTATTATCTGCATCCATTTGTTACACGCAGAGGTTATTTCCAGTAGTTTTTTTGGAATGGACTCTACGATGGATAGAGCCCTATAAATATTTTACTCTCTCATGGTTTTAGGTCACCTGAATCTGCTCCTCTTTTAGAACAAAAACACACCATCGTGATTAAGTGAGTGAGAGTTTGGAAAAAATGAAAACTCTGACATGAATCAACTTGCAATGGCTGCAGGTTAGTATTCTAATTCTGTTTCTCTTTCCCATAGCCTTATTACAGTTTTTATTTGGCTTTTTAATATTTACATTTGATATCAGAGCATTGTATAGTCTCTGCCTTACTTGTTCTGAAAATTCAAAATTTTGTTTTTGAATATGGATGTTGTGTTTGACCCTTTTTTTTTTTATATCAAAACCGAATATCGAAAACCGTTTTCTATATTTTCTGCATCTAAAAACATATTTTTTTCCCGTTTAATACGTATTGGAAAAGCTAAATTTTTGAAATCGGGTTCGCGGGTCATAACCTGGTCAAACTGACCCGGCTAGAGGTTGAAGACAACTGCAACGTAAGTTTTTCTGTCGTTTTGTGTTTTTATGAGTTTACAAATAAATGAACATATACTTTTGGACGTAAGACAATGACAGTTAATGGTGCGTGGCCTAATGGTTAGCTGAGCCTTGATCTTCGTGGAGGACGCAAATTTGAAACATGCCTTTGAAATTTTTATTCAAATGTTTTTTTGGCCCTTAATGAATCCAAAAATAAGTTTTGGTCCTACGTGAGTTCGAGCCCAAGATCTCTGTAGTGGGAAAATACAGTGAGCGTTACTAAACCAAACCCTTATTTTGACTTTTATATATCCTCTCTTTGTGACTATTTAGCATGACATTATTAATTTTTATGTCTAATTTATTTGATATTAATACTAACCTTTGGCTCTTTGGAAAGAATTAATGTTTGGTGATGAATATAATTTTAATAAATTGGAGAGTAGCCACAACACCTTTGATTGATTAAAAAAATTATATATATAGTTTTTGAATCACATTGAAAAACATTAATTGTAATTGATTATATATGATGTGATGAAATCTACCCATAAAATTTTTATTGCATGTGTATGATTAATTAGGATAAAATATTAGATTATATTTCTTAATCTACCCACAAGAATTAAGAAAAGAAACATAATTTGATAGTTTTGTCATAAAGATGTGTAATGAGTCTAATTGAATAGGACTTTAACCCACAGACAAGTTTTATGTCACTAGATTCATGAATTAAAGCATGTTTGCATTGGTAAAACATGATATTTATTTTATCCTCAAATTATGATGATAAGCATGTGGCATTTTAAACTTTGCAGTTTCTCAATCTGTGAGTATTTTTTTTATATTAAATGTGGTATTTTCGAGTTAAAGGGTGACAACTATAAGGTCTGGAAGGAGAAAGTTCTTCTTCATTTGGGCTAGATGGATATTGATTATGCTATTAGAAAGGACAAACCACCGGCTATTACTATAACAGACACTCTAGATGCAGTTGATCTTTATGAAAAGTGAGAGATGTCTAATCGTCTTTATGTGACTTTCATAAAGACCAACATTTTTGCCAATATTCGGGGTTCTATCGATCAACATAATAAAGTTAAAGATTTATTAAAGGCCATTGATGAGCAATTTACTACTTATGATAAATCTCTTGCCAGCACCCTTATAATGCAAATTTCATCCATGAAGCTCATTGGAATTAGAGGAGTGTGTGATCACATCATGCATATAAGAGATATAGTGGCTTAGCTGAAAGCCTTAGAAGTTACCATGTCTGATTCCTTTTTGGTACACTATATTTTGTGTACATTTCCTCATCAATATGCCCCCTTCAAGATCTCTTATAACACATATAAGGATAAGTGGTCTATTAATGAATTGTTGACCATGTGTGCTTAAGAAGAGGAAATGTTACTAATGGAAGAAGGGGAGAAGGTGAACTTAATTACCTCTGCGAGGAGTAAAAAGAATCAAGTTAATCACAAAAGAAGGATTCCTGTTTAGCCGAACATAAAGAAGGAGTTAAAGTGTTTTTTTTGTAAAAAAAAAAAGGACATATGAAGAAAGACAACTTGAAATTCAAGATATGACTAGACAAGAAGGGTAATCCATTTGCTTTTATTTGTTATGAATCTAATATGGTTGATATTAATCATAACATATGGTGGATTGATTCCAGTTCTACAATCCATATTTGTAATACCTTGTAGGTTATGCAAAACCTAAGGAGGCCAATGGGAAGTGAGCAATGCATATACTCAAGGAGTAGGATGAGTTCATATGTGGAGGCCGTTGGGACGTGCAGTTTAACTTTAAGTAGTGATTTTGTTTTAAATTTAGAAAAGACATTTTATGTTTTTGGTTTTTCTAAGAATTTGATTTCAATTTCAAGACTTGCGCCTTCAGGTTTTTCTTTTAATTTTTCAGACACTAGTTTTACTTTATTGAATAAATCTAAAATTGTTGGTTTTGGTAAACTATGTGATGAACTTTATTTTATTACTTTGCAAAATAATGCCGCTTATAATTCTATGCACGTTACTGCTGGGGTAAAACGATGTGTTGTTAATGAGGAATCCTCTATGTTGTGGCATCGGAGATTGGGACACATTTCCATTGAGAGAATTAAGCGATTAGTAAATGAAGGAGTACTTAGTGCTTTGGACTTTATTGATTTTGAGACTTGTGTGGATTGCATTAAGGGTAAGCAAACCAACAAGTCTAAAATTGGTGCCAAGAGAAGTTCAAACCTATTAGAGATCATTCATATAAATATTTGTTGTCCAGACATGGATGCAAGTAGTTTGAGATATTTTATCACCTTCATAGATAATTACTCACGATATATGTATATCTACTTGCTTCGTTCTAAAGATCAAGCTTTGGATGCCTTTAAAGTTTTTAAGGCTGAAGTAGAATTATAATGTGAAAAGAAAATTAAGATTGTGAGATCAGATAGAGGTAGAGAATACTATGGTAAATACACAGAGAATGAACAAGCACTTGGTTTATTTGTGAAATTTCTTCAAGAACATGAGATTGTTGTCCAGTACACTATCTCTGTGTCTCCAGATTAGAATAGTGTGGCAGAAAGAAGGAATCAAACTTTGATGGATATGGTGAGAAGCATGAGGAGCAATGTAAGACTTCCTCAATTCTTGTGGATTGAAGCACTTAAGACGGTTGTATATATATTAAACAAAGTTCCAACTAAGACTGTCTCAAAAACACATTTTGAGTTGTTCAAAGGTTGGAAACCTAGTTTGCGACATATACGCGTTTGGAGATGCTCGTCTGAAGCGAGAATTTATAATCCACAAAAGAAGAAACTTGACCCTAGGACTATTAGTAGATATTTCATTGGATATGTTGAAAAGTCCAAAGGGTATAAGTTCTATTGTCCATCTCGTAGTACTAGAATTGTAGAATCAAGAAATGCGAAAATTTTTGAAAATGATTTGATTAGTGGGAGTGACCTAATTCTAGACTCTACTCTTGAAATAGATCATTATAAAGTTAAACCCTCTTAATCAAATGATAGATTGGTAGTCATTCATGCTCCTCCAGTTCAAGAGCCTATTAGACAACCAATTATCCAAGTTCCACAAGCTATTGAATATAATTTGGTAGATCAAGTTATTGACAAGGAGGTACAAGTAAATGTTGATCAACCTATTAAGGAAGTGGTTTTAACAACAAGTTCCTCATCAAAATAATGAGACAACATTAAGAAGATCTACTAGAGTAAAAAAGTCAGCAATTTCTAGTGACTGTGTGGTGTATTTACAAGAATCGGATTATAACGTAGGAGCCAAAAATGATCTGAAACGTTTTCACAAGTCATGAATTCTAAGAAATCGAATTTATGGTATAATGCCATGAAAGATGCGATGGATTCTATGGCATCTAACAAAGTCTGGAATCTCGTTGAGTTGCCTAATGATGTAAAAGTCATTGGATGTAGGTGGGTCTGTAAAACCAAGAAAGAAGCACAAGGTAACATTGAAAGACATAAAGTAAGACTTGTTGCCAAAGATTCACTCAAAGGGAAGGAATAGATTGCAAGGAGACATTTTCTCCTATGTCTAAAAAGGATTCTCTTCGAGTGATTATGGCATTGGTAGCTCATTTTAACCTTGAGTTATATCAAATGGATGTGAAGACAGCGTTCTTCAATGGTGATCTAGAAGAAGAGATTTACATGAAATAACCTGAAGGATTCTTCTTTAGTAACAGTGAGCATTTAGTCTGTAAGCTTAATAAATCTATATATGGATTAAAACAAGTCTCCCCTCAATGGTATAAAATTTCATGAAGTCATATCTTCATTTGGTTTTGAAGAAAATATCATGAATCAATGTATATACTTGAAGGTTAGTGGGAGTAAGATTTGTTTCCTTGTTTTATATGTGGATGATATTTTGCTTGCGACTAATGATAGGTGTATGCTATATGAAGTGAAACAATTTCTCTCAAAGAACTTTGATATGAAATATATGGGTGAAGCATCTTATGTCATAGGCATTAAAATCTATAGGGAAAGATCTCGAGACATTTTGGATTTGTCTCAAGAGACCTATATTAACAAGGTTTTGAAAAGGTTTAACATGAAAGATTGTTCACCAAGTGTAGCTCCCATTGTGAAGGGTGATAGGCTTGAATTGAGTCAATGTTCGAAAAATAACCTTGAGTGGGAACACATGAAAAATATTCCATATGCTTCAGCTGTTGGAAGTCTTATGTATGCTCAGGTTTGCACTAGACCTGACATTACATTTGTGGTTGAAGTTTTAAGAAGATATCAGAGTAATCTAGGTGTTGACCATTGGAAAGCTGCAAAGAAAGTAATGAGATATCTTCAAGGAATAAAGAATTATATGTTTATGTACAGACAGACTGATGCTTTAGAAGTGATAGATTACTCTGACTCAGACTTTGCTGGCTACATTGATACCAGGAAAATCTACATTTGGTTACATTTTTATGTTAGCTTGTGGAGCTGTATCTTGGAGCAGTGTGAAGCAGACCTTGACTGCTACTTTCACTGTGGAGGCTGAGTTCGTTTCTTGTTTTAAGGCTACCTCACATGGTTGAAGAGTTTTATATCTGAGCTTAGAGTTGTGGACTCTGTATCTAGGCCATTAAAGATGTATTGTGACAACTTTACTAATTTATGACTAATAATAACAAGAGTGGAAGTTGAAGTAAACACATCGACATCAAATATTTAGCCATAAGAGAACGTGTTAAGGAAAAAAAGTGGTCGTTGAGCACATTAGCACTGAGTTGATGATTGTCGATCCTTTGAGTAAAAGCATACCACCAAAGAATTTTAAGGATCATGTAGCATGAATGAATCTTGGTTCCATGATGTGACAATCATTATGAGTACTCTTGTTATTTTTTTATAAGACTTTTTATTCAGATTTGATGTTTTCTCTTTTGTTTTGTGCACACTTTTGTTTGTTTAGAAAATATCGTTTAGTTTTGACCTTGAATGAACATATGGTTTATTCATTAAGTTAAAAGTTAGTGTTAAGAGACTTCATATTCTGTGATACATGAAAGATAATACTCACCGTTAGAGGAACTGTCAGCATGATTCATATATTTGGTTTCCTGTTATGGTTGATAATGGAATTAATAGATCAAGTGGGAGAATGTTAGCAATCGATTTCTGTTTGTAGTTTCGATTTTCAAGGGACATTACGTAATCCATATAATTCCATTTTCTGCATCTGTTTGTTACACGCAGAAGTTATTTTCACTAGTTTTTGGGAATAGGCTCTATAATGGGTAAAGCCCTATAAATATTTTACTCTTTCATGATTTTAGGTCACTTGAATCTGCTCCTCTTTTAGAACAAAAGCACACCATCATGATTGAGTGAGTGAGAGTTTGAAAAGACTGAAAACTCCAACTGCGAATCAATTTGCAATGGCTAGAGATTAGTATTTTAATTCCGTTTCGCTTCTGCATAGCCTTATTACGGTTTTCATTTGGCATATCCTTCTATCCAACCTTCCTATTTGTCTCCTCCTTTCTTTGGTGGCGCGATGTAGCCTAGTTGGTAAATTGGGATTATTTTTTGTGAAAATTCAGTCTAAGCAGGTGCAGATTTCAACAATAATAAAGGAGATAGTTCCATGATTACCTGCCTAAATTATATATCATCAACATCTCATTTTTATGCAAGATTTCTATTGCAGTCTTTTGAAGAAAGGAGCACCAACCCTTCTAGACATTTTCACCAGGCTCTAAAAGAATTATGTTATAATATATAAAATAGATATGATTTCATTCAGCATAATTTTGTACTTCATTTGTCTACTCTTTATCTCCTAAGATGATATTTCATTTTCCTTCTTATTTGGTATGAGACCAGGCCTTACTGAGGAAGGAACAGCTCAGTTTTTACAAAAAGTTGAGTTCTGATAAGTTTTCTCGCTGCAATCGGCAAAATCATTCATCTGGTATGTTATTCTGATTTCTACTCCGAATCAGGATAGGAAATTAATTGTATTACTGTGTCTTACGTCTGCTTGATCACATTCAATAAATTAATTTCATTTAATGAAATGGATTATTCTATCCCGAGCTAATGTGCCCAATTCGTGGTTGTGAAATGAAAACTTCTGCTAAAGATGTTCCTATTGATCAGATTGTTTCTTTCAGCAGTGAAAACCACTACATGGAATTACTTTATTGGATTACGTCATAAAACCCAATATTAGATTTAAAATTTATATCATGTAGATCATGTCATACCTATATCATTACATTTGTCATTTCACTGTTGATTTAAGTTTTGAAGTTTGTATAGATAAATGGACTTCATGTACCTCAAGCGCTACAGTAGATGATTTTCTAGAGAGAGGAAGGGGCAAGAGGGAACGTGAACGCAAAGTTCATTTTGATGTGAGTTACTAGCTCAAAATTATGTAACATAATCCCTCTTAGAATATATTTGTGGGTTGCATTAAATAATGAAATTCTTCTGCAGGACGTGACATTTCCACTGAAATCAGAAGGAAAGGCTCGTCGGTTAAAGATAATGCGGTACCTTGGCCTTGTAGCTCCAGTTGGTTCTCCATTTTGATCATTATTATGACTAATGTACATGTTGATTTTTTTTTAAGCTCTAGTTAGTTCTACTATTTTCCCCATATTACGTGTATATTTCAATAATTTGCTTCTACCTCTTGTCGGTATTATTTAGTCTTATTTATTTCATTATTATATTATAAAAACATATCTCAATTGGAAGGAATTGAACTATAAAGTCTTATTATTTTAGCCCATGTAACTCCCCACCTTCATAAAGTTATGATGTTGACAAAGGAAAATCAGCATGTCCAGTAAAATATTCCTTTGGTTCTGTTAACTTCAAATCTGACTTTAAATATATAATTTTTTATTAAAAATATAATATTTGTTATACTTTTATATTTTTGATATAATAAATATTAAAAATATTTTTGTTTAATTTTTTGTTATTTAACCTCAGTTCAAAGTTAATATTTTTCATAAAATATCTGCCGTGAGCAGGTTAACTTGATAATTGGTAAACTGGCCTACAGTTCTCAATGCATCATTCACTCATTTCTTCAGTGTGTTATTAGGATTATGAAAATTGCCAGTTCTAGACCAAAATAAGTTTATTATGTCAATAAGCCTAGCAACCAAGAATAACCAAATTGTGTTGGGATCTTATATTAGCTTTCAAGTGAAGGAGCATCCTTTGTCCAAAACCGACAGATGCTACGTTAGAAAAAGCATTCACGGACAAGTGTGGCGGAATACCTTTTAAAAATTTGCATAAGATTTAACAAATACAGGCATTATTTATATATATATATATATTTTTTTATCTATTTAAATATTATTCCCCTTATTAATTAATTTTAAACGTGTCTTATACTTCACTCACAATCAATCCTATATTCTTTTCTTCCCTTTTAAGTTTTTAGTTAAGTTTGTCACTGGGATTTGCCTCTCTTTTGATATTTCTAGAAAGTCTTTCAATCATACACACTTTTTGATCAGATAATATTTTCACTGTTTGTTGTTGTACATAAATTTATTTTAAATAACGTTCAAAACTTATATGCAGATTTATATATACTTTACCTTTAAAAAAATATATGTATAATTCAGGGAAGTGCTTTCGGGATCAATTAAGTCACAAAGGGTGTGTGACTGTGTGTATAAATGTCTCTCATGAGCCCCTAATAAACAAGAGAAAGTGGATCTATTGCAGCTGTATCCATCTCCACCACACAACACACTAATGACTTCCCAAACACAAAACCTCAACTTTGTGTTGTTTCCTTTGATGTCTCAGGGCCACATGATTCCCATGATGGACATTGCAAGAGTGTTGGCACAGCAAGGTGTTACTGTCAGTGTAATCACCACACCCCACAATGCAGCACGTTTCTCGTCAACTTTTGCTCGTTCCATTGATTCAGGTTCTCAAATCAAACTAGTTGAACTCCAATTCCCATACAAAGAAGCTGGATTACCAGATGGGTGTGAGAATCTTGACATGCTACCTTCACTAGGCACTTCCTTGAGTTTCTTCAATGCAGCTAACACCCTACAGAAACCAGTAGAAAAGATCTTTGAAGAGTTAACCCCTCCACCAAGCTGCATAATTTCTGACATGTGTTTGCCTTACACAGCCAACATTGCTACAAAATTCAACATCCCTAGGATTTCTTTTCTTGGACAAAGTTGTTTTAGTCTCTTGTGTCTTTACAACTTGGGCGTCCACAAAGTTCTGTCTAGCATAGCCACAGAAACTGAGTACTTTGTGTTGCCTGGTTTGCCTGACAGAATTGAGATGACCAAAGCACAGATACCAGCACAAAAAACAACGGAAGAATGGAAAAAGTTTTATGCCAGAACTGCTGCTGCTGAAGGGGTTTCTTATGGAGTGATCATGAATTCCTTTGAAGAGTTGGAGCAAGAGTATGCAAGGGGTTACAAGAAGGCAAGGAATGGTAAAGTGTGGTGTGTTGGTCCTGTTTCACTTAGCAACAAGGATCATTTGGATAAGGCTGAGAGAGGGAACAAGGCCTCAATTGATGAACACTATTGCATGAAGTGGCTTGATTTGCAAAAACCAAGGGATGTAATATATGTTTGCCTTGGAAGCATTTGCAACATAACTCCACCGCAGTTGATAGAGCTTGGTTTGGCCTTGGAAGCATCAAATAGACCCTTCATTTGGGTTATAAGGGAAGGAAGCGAATTAGAAGCATTGGAGAAGTGGATCAAAGAAGAGGGCTTTGAGGAAAGGACTAAAGCTCAAAGCCTTGTGATTCGGGGTTGGGCTCCTCAGGTACTAATACTATCACACCCTTCAATTGGAGGCTTCTTAACACACTGTGGTTGGAACTCAACCTTAGAAGCAATATGTGCTGGTGTGCCAATGGTTACTTGGCCACTTTTTGGTGACCAATTCCTCAATGAGAAACTTATTGTACAAATATTAAGAGTAGGAGTAAGGGTTGGAGTGGAGGTTCCTGTCAAATGGGGTGAAGAAGAGAGAACGGGGGTCTTGGTGAAGAAAGAAGATGTTAAGAGAGCAATTGATGAGTTAATGAATGAGCGTAGAGAAAGTGAAGAAATGAGGAAAAGAGTTAAAGAGCTTGCAGACTTGGCCAAGAGAGCTTTAGAAGAAGGTAGATCATCTCACTCTAATGTGAAACTCCTTATCCAAGATATCATGCAACAAACCAAGAGAAATAATTGATATTTCTCACTTTGTGAAAGCAGATTGGTATTTGGTACTCATTATATGTTTTTTTCCTACCCTATATTTTTTCAAAGCTGTGAGTCCATTCAATTCCATAAGTAGAGTGGTGGATTAGTAAGTGTCACACTGTCACTTTCTCTGTAACTCTTGAATTTATTAAGAAGTTGATTAAATCAGGGAGTATTGGTAGCATAGTATATGTGTAGCATTGTTATGTACCATTTCCACTATTTGCAGATTGATCAAATATCTAATAGAACCCAATGCGAAGGGTCCATTAAATGTCATTATCATGGTTCGAATTCTAAAGGCTGAGTTTGAATACATCAAACAAATTGGGTAGGAGGGTGTTTGGCTTGACGTTGCTGCGAAGTTGAAAGGAAATTTCCACAATCACTTCCTAAAAGCGAAATAGGCAGGGCAGCTATAATTTGAGAGAGAGAGAGACAGAGAGAGAGAGATGGAGTCACTGTCGTGATGTTTATGCTGGATATATAATTGTTTGCCTAATCTATACTTTTTGAATTTTTTTTCTTTTCACTTTCTAGAGTAAATTAACTATGTCTTGAGTTATTTAAATCCCCTTAAGGCCTGTTTGTGAAGAGAGAAATACCCATTTTGTGAAAGCTAAAATTATTAGCTACTGTTCAGCTTGTGTTGGAATATGTGTTGAATTCATTTTTGAACATTGAATTGCTGCATAACTCGTTGCACAAATGAAAATTCAAACATGCTGCTAATTGACTTCAGGATATTTGTTTAAGGATGTGTATAGGCATGTTGTGGGAATAAATTTTTCACTATTCCTTGTACATAATCGACTTCTAAACCCCCATTACTTTACGCAAACCAGATTTAAGAACTTATTCAAATAATGTCGGTGGAAATTTCCTATGAATTTTTTTAACGAAAATTCCCTCCTCTCGTGATTATAATAGTATAATGCTACAGTATATTTAAATTTATTATACATAGATGTAATTTGTAATTTTTTTAATTTGTAATTTTTATTCTGCTTAAATTGCTTAGGCATATCTCCTTATAATTATAAACTTATTTAGTCTTTTATAATCTATTATTTTTTATATTGCACGTGCTTTAATTATACATATTTTCTTTATTATTTTAAACATCTTTTCTCTTGAAAATTTTTGGTTTTTTTTATTTCACATGTGCCTCTTTTTGTGGGTCAACAACATGAACTTTTGCTGCATAATTTTTTTTATTCAGTCCATTTTTGGCCAAGGACGGGCCATATAACCTAAAAGAATAACATAAGCTAGCCATTCAAAGCCACAAGTTACAATCGACCAAAAGATTCGTACAAAGCTGTGAAAAGTGATTGGCCCTTCACTAATGCATTGGGGACAAAAGGTTTATTGTTTCGTAGAAATAGGGAAATATAGATATAGAACATATCTGAAATGATTGTAGTAGAATAACTAGTAAAAAGATGAAGAAAGGTTGGGCAAGTAGAGAATGTCCTTGAAGGTTGGATATATGATCTTATATCTAATTAGCATTAATTAAGGCATGAATAATGATAACCGGTAAGTGTAGGATGAAGATTATCCATGGTTTAGGACTTGTTAATATGTTTATTCTTGTCATGACGTGTGTTTATTGGGTTTTAAATTTATTGACAATTAAGTCATTGGTTTTTCATAGTTCACCAACGGCGTAGCCTCGGGTAAACATGAAATATAAGTCCTGTCACTGATAATCTAACCAGTGATTTGTTATGAATATCTAACAGTCATATCTTGCATGCACCATACTTGAAAATATGCCATTGAATGTATGATGTTTTGTCGTTGACTTGATCATCAATAATATAAATTTGGGAAGTATATGTTTATGATTCTTAGCTTGTAAATAAAATAATAGAATTGAGGTGAAGGAAAAGGCTTTGTGTTTTGAACATCAATAATGTGTGGGATTGGAAGCCAAATGAATGGCAACTTGATTGTCGCATAATGGAAGTGAAGAGTTGAAAGAGACTTTAAAGTGAGCGAGTAATCGGCATTAGAAGTGATAGACAAGAACTCAACTTCTATGAAATCAGGCATTTCCAAAGAAAATGGCAAATCAGTAATATATGTACATTTGTCAGCAACATCTTCACATAGGCTATGAGATGAAGAGAAGATTTAGCTGGGAAACAGACATTGTCCAGGTGACTTCTTAAGGTATTGAAGCACTTGGTCATGTGAGAATTGAGAATTTAATATTTATTATCTTAAAAATATAAAAAAAATATTTCTTTTACTTTTATTTAATAATTAAGAGAACTTATACACATAAAAGGTAAAATAAAATAAAGTATATTTATGAGTTTTAAATCTTAAACGTGAAATGACCTATTATTTCACTCTATTATGTGATGCCATGTTTGTCTTTTTAGATTAAATATATTCTCTCTTTTCATATATATTAAGAGTGAAATTCACTTTTAAAACGAGAGTATATACATTTATTAGTTTTTTATGTTCAATTATGTGTGATAGTTTATTTTTAAATATAAAATAAGAAATTTAAAACTTTATTAAATCACTTAATCTAAAATTTTAAAATTAAAAATAAGATATTAGAATTATTATTAACATGCTCAAATTTATAGCATAAATAAATAAAATTATATCATCTTCCAACTAAATTATATATTTCATAATACAAATGTAGAGTTATTTTAAATAAAAATATTTTAAAGTAAGGGTTATTAACTTTCTAATTATGGTGCATGATTTATTTTAGTTGAATCATGATTTAATTTTTGAATTTTGAATTTTTAATAATTTTTAAATTTTACAAATTTATCTTTTAAATTTGGTTCTATTTAATATAATAAAATTATTTACTTTTTAAAAAATTATTAAATTTTAAAAATCCATGTAATATACTTTTATTTTTTATTCAAAGATTATTTTAATTTAATAATATGTGTCATATACAAACATTTACTAATATGACTCACATAAGAAATTCTCTAAGTGGCATTGTAAAAGGTCCATCATATGAAATTCAATTTATAAAGCTGGTAATTGGTGGCCAGAATAAGATCAGAAATAAACTTTTATTATATCTATAAAAATAAAGATATGATATAAATATGTAAAAATTAATAAACTTATTTTTTTATTTATATTTACTAAATTAATTTTTATGTTTTTTATTTATAAAAAAATATATAAATAATTTAAAATATTTTTAATTTTAAATATATATAAAAATAATATATTTTAAAAAAAATTAATATACTTTTAAAAAAATATAAAAATAGAGAGGAAAGAGAGAGAGGGGTAATAAAATAAATTTAAGGTATTTTAGAGAAGACAATTGTTATCATTTCCTTCTTCTTTCAATCCAATCATATATTTATGATAGAAATTATATGAGTCAAATATGATAGGATATGCAACATGATAAATTATATTATTGTGACTCAACAAACATTTGATTAATAATGCATATGATAGTTATCCTATCCTATCCACCATTATCTTGGGTACCAATCGCGTCTATTACTACATGCTTTTTATGACGATTGTTGGATTTGAAAACCATCTATGGATAGAGTGCTAATTGCTAAATCTTAATTGCATAACAATTTAGAGAGGGTCACCAAGAGCTCTTCTTGGATTTGAATATTACCAGTTCCCCAGAAAAAAAAAATAAATTCTTTACTTAACTATTGATACATGATGCATTGTTAACAAACACCCTTCAATACTAACGTCATCTAGCTGCTTCAAGCATATGCTTGATATGTAATGATTTGCTAAAGGATGCCTTACATTACCTTAGAGATTATTTGATGGCAAAATAATCTTGGCTTAGGCATGGATTTAGGAATAATAATTCCTTTTTCTCAATTCAAGATGTTAATGAATGGATGAAAGTGAGCTCAAATACTAATACAACATCATTTTACATATATTTAAGTGCATATAACATAAAATTAATAGATAGTATTTTTTTTTTATTAATATTGTGTCATTTAATGATATTGTATGATATTTAATGTTTCATATTTTATAATGTTTATAAACATTCATTATGTATAAATTTTTATAATGTTCTCTTGATACACATTGTTAAAAGAATATTTTTAATTAAATATATTTATAAGTAACATGTATTATTATCATACAAAAGGAAAATCAACAGATCCTATCGTGTAAAATATTATTATAGTATATCTTTAACTACATATTAAAAAATTAAAAATAATAACACTAATTAAGTTTACGTATATAAATGCTAATTAATACTATTCTTTAATAAATGCTATACGATTAGGAACGAGTAGGTTTGAAATTTAGAACCAGTAAAACGCGGATACTTAAGGAGTATTAAATGTATTTTAGTATGTTATTCCAAAAACAAGTGTTAAATAGTTTTATATAATATTTTTAATTAATTTTTCAATTTTTCTTTATTATAAGTATTTTATAGATTCTTTTATTACTTTATCGCTGAAAATAAAAGGAAGCTACTTGGTTCATGAATTTGTGTTTTGGTGTTAATTAGTATTTTTATTAAGCGCATATTATATTATTTTTGTCTTATTTATAAAAACAATTTTTTTAAAGTCTTAACGATACATATTAAGAAATTAATAAATACTTTATATATATATATATATATATATATATATTTGTGTCTTTACGCTTTTTGTATGTTTGCACCCACATTAAAATTAATATTTATACACCATATATTTATACTGTATTTCATAAATATTTATAATAATCGTGTCTTATGAATTAAACGAATAAATTATTTATGTACTTTGATTACTTAAGTAACACAAATCTCATAATAAATAAGACATAAATAATATAATAATTTATATATTTAAAATTGAGTCTTTATTTGTTTAAATTTAAATTAAAAAATTATTTTTTATAAATAAATATAAAATAAATGCTTGTTAAAGGAAAATAATTAAAGAATAAATATTTTATATAATAAAAAATAAAATCGTATTAATTTATTAATAAAAATAATAATTTTTTAACATGCAATTAAATACACACAATAAAAAAAGTAATAAATAATAAATTTTTATTAAATAGTATAATAATTACTATATATATATGTTATCATACATTGTATCTTAAGAAAGACTACCAAATCCGCCTAGAAATACAAATTGAACAGTTTAAAAAATAAATTTATGACAAAAACAAAACTCTTAAAATTTACCATTTTCAACCGGCCAGAACTTTACAGGAAGGAAGGGTAGGTGCAATAGCTTTTAAAATTAGCGTTTAGTTTTTGGGAATAAAATAGTTATTGCACCTAATGACACATTATATATAGTTAGACTTCAAGGAAAAATAAATGTTTGTTTTACATTACTTATCTTTCTAAAATTTATTCTAAAAATAAAAGTTTTCTTATATATAACTACACATTATTGTTATAATTTAAAGAAAAATGTTTAATTTCACGTAAATTCCTCTTTTTAATATAAAAAAAATAAGTTGACATTTTTCTGTTCTATTTTTCATACTTTACGTTTTTCACAATTATTATTCTCTTACATGATAAACTCATCATATTTATTACTTTCTCTCTCATTTAATTCTTTTTCTTAAAGAAATAAGAATTTTATTAACAAGTATTCTAGAAATAATAATTACAAAATTATTAAATAAAAAATGTTACACTTTTTAATAAAAAAATACTTTTAATTCAATGAACACGGTCTTATTTTTCATCAGATTACCATCTACTTTCTTTTTCTTTTTCTTTGTGTGAATGCTAAACAAAATTAATCATGGGCAAAAAGGAAGGCTTTTCTAATGAAAAATTTTAACTTAAAGTCAATGACACGTATCGAAAAAATATTTTTTATTAAAATAATTTAATTTTAATATATTCTAAGTATAAAAAATTATACTGTTAATTAATTTAAATATATTGTAAGTATAATTTTTGTGTTAATTATTATAAAAATTAACGATTCTTAATTTATATGAGAATTTATAATTGAGTGACAGTGTACATTGAAACTAAGTTTTTATTTAAATATTATTAATGCATTAAATTTTATAATATTTTAATAAAAAAAATATCATTCGTAAATTCTAACTTTCTGTTAGTTAAAAAACTGTTGAATCAAAACTATTACGTGACGGTTGGTATCATACAATACAAGCAAAAAGTAAATTGTAGATACGCACGATGCAAAGAAGCCTCCATTTAAGTCCCAATTGGTGATTAGTTCCATCTTCAAACTTATCTGAATTCCCTTGAAATTAAGCTTTCCCGTGACACAAGAACTTGCAATGGAGACGACAACACCATGCAACCTCCACTTTGTATTCATCCCCTTAATGGCACCCGGTCACATGCTTCCTCTTGTGGACATGGCCAAGTTATTGGCACGCCGTAACGTTAAGGTCACCATAGTCACAACACCCCTCAATGCACCCCAATTCAGAGCCACCATTGAAAGAGAAATCCAATCTGGCTCACCCATCAAAATTCTTCTAGTTAAATTCCCCAATGTTGGGGCTGGAATACCAGAAGGGTGTGAGAACTTAGAAACTCTCCCTTCAATGGATCTCAGGGAGAACTTTATGGTGGCTTTAAGCATGCTTCAGCAGCCACTAGAGGAGCTTCTTGAAAAGCAAGAACCTTTTCCTAGTTGCATTGTATCCGACAAGCACATTTCTTGTGTTTCTTATGTGGCCAACAAGTTAAAAGTCCCTAGAATAGTATTTGATGGGACTAATTGCTTCAACCTCTTGTGCAATTACAACTTGCATGTTTCTAAGGTCTATGAGAGGGTTGCTGATTCGGATCAATTGGTTGTCCCCGGATTACCCCACATAATTGAAATGAAGAAATCTCAGCTACCCGTGATTTTTAGGCCTGGCCCAAACCCAAAGTTGAATGCTATACGTGAGAGAGTGTGGATGGCTGAAGAAGAAGCATATGGGGTAGTAGTGAATAGTTTTCATGAGTTGGAAGCAGAATATGTTGAAGAGTATCAAAGGGTCACAGGGTATAAGGTATGGTGTGTTGGTCCAGTGTCACTATCAAATAAGGATGATTTGGATAAAGCTCAGAGAGGTAGCAAAAACTCATATGCTGATGAAATTGAAACCAAGAAATATGTGAAGTGGCTTGATTCATGGCCTGAAAAGTCAGTTATTTATGCCTGCCTTGGTAGTCTTAATCGTGTAGCACCTAAGCAATTGATAGAAATTGGTTTAGGATTGGAAGCAACAAAAAGGCCTTTCATTTGGGTGCTAAGAGGAGCATATAAAAGAGATGAAATGGAAAAGTGGCTTTTAGATGAAGGGTTTGAAGAGAGGGTCAAAGAGAGAGGGATTTTGATCAAGGGTTGGGCACCACAGGTGTTGATTTTGTCACATAAAGCAATAGGAGCCTTTTTCACACACTGTGGATGGAATTCAACGCTTGAAGCTGTTTGTGCTGGTGTGCCTTTGGTGACATTTCCTATGTTTTCTGATCAGTTTTACAATGAGAAGTTTGCTGTGCAAGTGGCTGAGATTGGAGTGAGAGTTGGGGCTGAGTTTGCTGTGCACTTTGGTGATGAAGATAAGTTTGGTAATCTTATTCAAGTCAATAGGGACAACGTTAAAGAGTCTATAGAGAAGGTGATCGGTGAAGGTGAAGACAAAGAGAAGAGAAGAGAGAGAGCTAGAAAGTTTGCGGAAATGGCGAAGAAAGCAGTAGAAGAAGGTGGATCTTCTCATTGCAACATGTCTTTGCTAATTTATGATATAATGCGTGTCCAATTGCTAAGTCAAAGGAAACTCACAGTGTAGACCAAATCATATGCGGGTTGCAATATGCTTTTGCTTAAACGCATTTGGTATTGGGACATTGCTGCTTTGTTTTTCTGGAAATTGTTATAGTGGTTGCTTGTTTTTAATTTTATAATAAATGTTAAATCCTTGTGTTTGTTTTGATGTTTGAATCTCTAATAGTTAAAATAAGAGTAATCTTTTTCTAACAATTTTTTTTTCAAATATTACCTTTTATATTTTGTATATAAATTTCTGTTTTTCTTTTTCATACCAAATATCATATCTATTATTTTGTCTATTTTATCTTTCGTCTCTTTTATCTTCCAAATGGTGTATATGTACTCACAGGGTGTCAAAATTTCTTTTCCAATTTCTAGGACCTAAGGTTTGAATCTCATTGGACTTAGATGGAGGAAGCTTTATCAGGGGATTGTAACTTTAACAGTAATCCTTTAACATCACTTACATTCTTATATTTATCAAGTACATGTCTTATACAATCATCGCAAGAGCTAACAAAACGAGTCTATTCAATAAATCAGCTTGAAATTACTTACAAAAAGAAAATCCTCACAAAAAGTAAAGGTTGAAACATTAGAATTAAATATCCGAATAAATCCAAGTATTTTTATTACAATTTGTTTAAGCTTAAATCTATACAGGCTAGTCAACAAGTCATCTATGTTACAAGAGAATATATTTTTATTTAGACAATATTTATTAAAATATCTAAGTGAAATATATTAGATTGTTATATACATTAAAATTTATTAACATAATTAATATTTAATTCCATATTATTATAATAAGGAGGTTTAAATAATTGAAAGATTAATTAAAATATTTATTTTAAATATTTAAGGCTACTTAAGTATTTATTTTAATTTTATTGGATAAAGTGATTTGATTTTATTTTAAATTTTAATGTGCTTTATTGATATAATTTATATTTTAATACATATTAAATACTCTTAAAAAATGTCATAAAGTAGAGGTACTTGCATAAATTCATTACTCACAAAGGATTTCGACTATCATTTTAAAGGCCATTATTGTTTGAATTTCGACCAACATTCAATATCCCTGCACAGCCAGTAAACAATAACTGTACAAAAAAATCAAAATTAAAAACATGAATTAAACGACAATAAGACGTAGCCAATAACAAAAAGCGTTGCACTGCTAATATTGGACAAGCCAAGACTTGATATGAACAAAAAATGGAAACATGTGAGGCAACAAGATTCCTGGTCCATATTTGCCTAACCTAACCGCCAAAACCATAAAGGGTCTTGTCCTGTCTCTTCAACGTCCATAGCAGTGACAGTCTTATGCTCTGTATAAGTGACAGCATTGCGACTACGTTCTCAACGAAGATATTTAGGAAAAACTATAGCATGTTCCGAGATTATCGTCTAAAAATACACTAACTACAATACTGTAGAGTGCAATTTGCACAAAAAAATTGCAGAAAATACCAATCCTAAAACATGACACACTTATAAAATATTAAACACGTAGCAAAATCTGTATAGTTAGACTACCTAAAAATTTACCAAGGCCAACGAAACAACAAATGGCCCATAGAGGCCTAAAAGCAGCACAACGCGGCAAGTCCACTAAAGCTGTTCCGGTTTGACAAAAACAAAATTTTCCACTGAGCTATGCAGCAATACAAAATAAATAGACAAGCTGGAAGTCATTAATGTGTATCTTTATTCAACTTCTTTGTTTAATTATTCTTACAGTGTAATTTATGACCCCATGTTAAAGAATATTCAAGTAGCTTCAATTGTAAAAATATGACAGAAAATTAATTAAGATAATCTGGACACATGCAAACAAAGTCATTAGGACATAAGTGAGAAAAATTAATTAATTAATTAATTAAAATATATTGTAAATATAATTTTTATATTAGTTAATATAAAAAATAATTATTCTTATTTATATAACAATTTATAATTGAGTGATAGTGTATATTTAAACTAAATTCTTATTTAAAATTCTAAAATTCAATATTATTAATGTATTAAATTTATAATTTTTATTATTTTTAATAAAAAAAAAGTATCATTCATATATTCAAAATTCATGTTAGTTAAAAAACTGTTGAATCAAAATAGATACGCACGATGCAAGCCTCCATTTAAGTCCCAATTGGTGACAAGTTCCATCTTCACACTTATCTGAATTCTCTTGAAATTTCAGCTTTCCCGTGACACAAACTTGCTATGGAGACACCACCACCATGCACCCTCCACTTTGTATTCATCCCCTTCATGGCATCCGGTCACATGCTTCCTCTCGTGGACATGGCCAAGTTATTGACACGCCGTAACGTTAAGGTCACCATAGTCACAACAACCCTCAATGCACCTCAATTCAGAGCCAGCATTGAAAGAGAAACCCAATCAGGCTCACCCATCAAAATTCTTCTAGTTAAATTCCCCAATGTTGAGGCTGGAATACCAGAAGGGTGTGAGAACTTAGAAACTCTCCCTTCAATGGATCTTAGGGATAACTTTATGGTGGCTTTAAGCATGCTTCAGAAGCCACTAGAGGAGCTTCTTGAAAGGCAAGAACCTTTTCCTAGTTGCATTGTATCTGACAAGTACGTTTCTTGTGTTTCTTATGTGGCCAACAAGTTAAAAGTCCCTAGAATAGTATTTGATGGGACTAATTGCTTCAACCTCTTGTGCAATTACAACTTGCATGTTTCTAAGGTCTATGAGAGTGTTGCTGATTCGGATCAACTGGTTGTCCCCGGATTACCCCACATAATTGAAATGAAGAAATCTCAGCTACCCGTGTTTTTTAGGCCTGGCCCAAACCCAAAGTTGAATGCTATACGTGAGAGAGTGTGGATGGCTGAAGAAGAAGCATATGGAATAGTAGTGAATAGTTTTCATGAGTTGGAAGCAGAATATGTTGAAGAGTATCAAAGGGTAACGGGGTATAAGGTATGGTGTGTTGGTCCAGTGTCACTATCAAATAAGGATGATTTGGATAAAGCTCAGAGAGGTAGCAAAAACTCATATGCTGATGAAATTGAAACCAAGAAATATGTGAAGTGGCTTGATTCATGGCCTGAAAAGTCAGTTATTTATGCCTGCCTTGGTAGTCTTAATCGTGTAGCACCTAAGCAATTGATAGAAATTGGTTTAGGATTGGAAGCAACAAAAAGGCCTTTCATTTGGGTGCTAAGAGGAGCATATAAAAGAGATGAAATGGAAAAGTGGCTTTTAGATGAAGGGTTTGAAGAGAGGGTCAAAGAGAGAGGGATTTTGATCAAGGGTTGGGCACCACAGGTGTTGATTTTGTCACATAAAGCAATAGGAGCCTTTTTCACACACTGTGGATGGAATTCAACGCTTGAAGCTGTTTGTGCTGGTGTGCCTTTGGTGACATTTCCTATGTTTTCTGATCAGTTTTACAATGAGAAGTTTGCTGTGCAAGTGGCTGAGATTGGAGTGAGAGTTGGGGCTGAGTTTGCTGTGCACTTTGGTGATGAAGATAAGTTTGGTGATCTTATTCAAGTCAATAGGGACAACGTTAAAGAGGCTATAGAGAAGGTGATTGGTGAAGGTGAAGACAAAGAGAAGAGAAGAGAAAGAGCTAGGAAGTTTGCGGAAATGGCAAAGAAAGCAGTAGAAGAAGGTGGATCTTCTCACTGCAACATGTCTTTGCTAATTTATGATATAATGCGTGTCCAATTGTTAAGTCAAAGGAAACTCACAGTGTAGACCAAATGCATATGTGGGTTGCAATAAGCTTTTGCTTAAACGCATTTGGTATTGGGAACATTGCTGTTTTGTTATTCTGGAAATTAGTTTTACAGTGGTTGCTTGTTTTTGTTTTTGTTTATATATAGATATACGTGGAATGCTTGTGTTTGTTTTGATGTTTGAATCTCAAATAGTTAAAATAAGAGTAATATTTTCTAAGAATTAATTTTTGTTCACGTATTACCTTTTATTTTTTATATAATTTTCTGTTTTTCTTTATCATGCATCATAGCTATTATTTTGTCTATCTTATCTTTCGTCTCTATCTTCCCAAGTGTATATGTACTCACAGGGCGTCAAAATTTATTTTTCGATATTCTAGGACCTAAAGTTTGAATCTCATTTGATTTATATGGAGGAAGATTTATAGGAGGGGATCGTAGCTTTAACTCGAATCGTTTAACATCACTTTTTTAGGTCCTGTTTGATCTGATTAGAGAAAATGTTTGATTGGGTTTTTAAATTTTTTTAAAAAATATTTGCAAAATTCAACCTAAATTTGAAAATGAAAAAAAAAGATATTTTTAACATTTTCTTTAAAATGAGAAGAATAGAAACATAGGGATATCGTTGTAAATATTATTTAATTTTAATTATACTAGATTCTATTATATTTATTGACCCACCCTTGTGTTTCAATTTTCTCTCTCAATTTAGTACTTTTTTTTTTGTCTTTTTTGCTTAAGTGTTACCATAAGTAATTATCCTTTTCTTCTTTCTTTTATTTCTTCTTCACATTTGTTCTTCTATCTTTTAATGGTTAGAGTCAATCAAATAATATATATATATATAAACCACCTCTTAGTTCTCCTCGTGTACTGCTAGGTCATTTGCAATGAAGTGTTCTTTGTTTGAGGCATTGTATTGAAATTCATGAGAGAAACAATGATGAGGCTCACCACTCATTTTTATGTGTTACTTAGTGTGTTAAGCTTTGTTAATTGGCCATAATTAAGCAAAAAATTATTGCTAAGATTATTACTAAAGTCACATTCAGAGTAGGTAACGGAATTTTGAATTGTTGGAGAAAATCAACCTTATTCTATGGTTGTGGGGATGAGTTCTCTATTTGGAAAATCGTCCAAGTTGAATGAGTCTCCTGAGTGTAGTTTCCTGACCTAACATTTTTCTTTTGTCTGGTGGAATTGTCAAGTGTTTCTGCTCGAACCTTGATTTAAGAAAGTAAGTGGATTCGAAACTTGCGGGATATAGACAAAGGAAAGACTTAAA